TGTACTCTAGAGTCACCTGGAACCGCTGAACCCCCTGCTCCATCACCTGGTTGCCCTTGAGGTTGACTAGCACCTCCTTGATGATCATGACGTAGTGACCCGGAAACTGCACTAGGTTCACCACCACCTGCACTCTTCTCTTCTTGGATCCCGCTCACCGACGCTCTGCCCGACCTCTCTGGAGGAAGACCCGAGCCCGTAGGACCACTCCACATTCGTCCCAAATCCATGCCTCCATAGCATGAACCCGCACCCGGCCCTGAAGCCATGTTGAAGAGCTCCAACAAACTCCCCTTGGCCATCGATCCAAAGCCACTCATGACACCTGAATCTTGCCGAGGGAAAAGACCACCACCCGCATGCTCCAACGGCATCCCCAAAGCACCTAACATGCCACGATCCTTTGAGGTTGGAGGTGGACTCATGGAAGCCTTCAACACTTCCATCACTGCCCCCCATCACATTCCGCTCCTGGCCCATCCCCTCACCAAACACACTTCCAAACCACGAAGGCTGCTGCCCACAACCTCCAGAGTGAGGAACCCAAGCACCATAGTGAGCTGCAGCTCCTTGCGAGAATGCTTCACGTTCTGACCACAAACGTGCGTTCTCCTGTAACAGGCTTTGCACCATCGAACGGAAGGCCTCATGCGGTTCTCGAGGAGGGCTCACAGAGGATGCTTGAACTGGTTGCATGTCTTGACCTTCGGGGGGTAAATGAGCAGGACGACATGCCCTCAAAATGGCTTCATCTCTTGCCGACTCAGACCAGAAGGGGTTTATCTGCGGTCCCAGCGAAATCGGCGGACCCTGGGGCATAGCCACCACTCCGTGTTCCGGTTGTACATCTTCTATGGCCTTTTGTCCAGAGTCAGGCGTCTTCTCGCTGGTATGTTCCGACATGGCACACCGGAAAGAGCCCGCGTCAATTTGGGCTCATAACCCACTTCAAGCGCGGTCCAACTCGCACTTATTTTCTCGAACAGAAAAGGGCTGTCCATTGTCCAAACGTTCACCACTGCACAAACGAAAAGCTCGAAACGCCTCAAGCACATGAAACGGGGATTCTGCTATAAGAATTGCTTTTCAATTCAATAGTTCCTTCGTGTCGGGGGGGCCTTTGCAAAGCCCACTCAGCATGGTGTGGGAATATCAATGAATCGTCGCTGATCACATCTGATCACCCAACAAGAACTGCTCACCACCAGTGGATGCACAGAAGCAACTGGCACAACAATTCACCATAGATGGCCACTAAACATCTCAAATCGCCACGAAAAAAGCATCACGAGACCCAAATCACCACGGGGATCGCCAAGAATCATCACGGATTTGCACGGATCACGAAGAGCTACCACAGAGTAACCGCCACGCACCATAGACTACCAGAAGCCATCACAGGTGACAACAAATGATTCAAAGAGCACCATATATGAACAGGAAGAGCCGGATGTCACATCATCATACATTGCCAAGCACTCGAAATTCATGAGATGCCACCGTTGCACCAAAGTATTGTAGTGAAGATTACCACATCACTATAGATCAAACCCGAAACCGCTACAGACTCACCACAGCTCGTCAGATCACCTCTTTGCTCACAACGCCGAAGCGCTGCTGTAGATCATCCGCCATATATCCGCCCGCCATATGTCATCACAGATCCAGACAACTCACCACGGGTTTACTAGATCCAAGCACTTATCACTTATCAGAACTTTTCTTATCACTGGTAACAACAAATCGTCATCGGTGAGCACAGATTGCAACAGCAGTCAGTGAAAGCCAGAATTTATTGCTTTCGTTTCCACCCACCCTGAAGTACTTGTGCCAGGCACTGTCCGAAGGTGGAACTGCAATGCGCGGAAAGGATTTCGGGCATTTTCGGGACAACGTTTCAACGATTGAATCTATTGCAGCGACTAAGGAAGGGGTTCAAATGATTACATTTCTCATCATTTGGGCGGTATATGTTATATACCTGCGTGTGGAAATCAGCAATTTGGCATTTTGACGAAGGGAGCCAATACTTCCTTGTACCACCACATTCAACAACGCAATATCCAACACCTACAGCTCCAATGAGCAGCTGCTGCCTTCGCCGCGCAAAACCTCGGGGGATGTATATGTTGGTTGCCATCGTGTTGAAGAGATGCGAGATAGTCAGACGGCTTATGGCCGATCGTTGCGATTCAGGGAATGTGCCATTTTCATACAAGAAACATGGCATCAGACAATGCACCGTCAGCATCATCCTCGTAGCCTATCCACATTGTCATTGTTTCGTATCTTTACACATGTATGTGCTTGCTGGCCCCACACACACACACAAAGAAACAAACCCTGGTTGCATTTAACAGTTTTTCATCAAATGGCATTGCTTCAAATTGCCTTTCTTGATCTCAAGCGAGCCTTCGTCATGCCTGTGACGCTTCAATGTGAGCCCCTGAGCTACAACTTTGGGGCTTTCCGTCAGTGCTCATGTGTTTGGCTGCCAGGACTTCTCTATGACCTGTGGAGTCTGCATTTTCGATCCTTGACCTTGCTGAATTTCGATTTCCTCCAGAGAAGTGGTTCATGTCTATGAGCACAGACAGCTTTGCCAGAGCTTTTGGATCAGCAAAAAGCTACCCCCCACAATGCACGTGACCAAGAAAGACTCGGGGAGAGCCAAGAAAGTAGGGCAGGGCTGTGCAGCAAGATCCAGCCAAACATCCATTTCGGAACTGGCTCACTGTATCTCACTGCGATGTCGGGCTGAACCTAAAGAGCCTTTATTGACTGATAGAGAATGGTCAGCGCCTTCTTCACGAGGATCCGCTGCCGAACTCTTGGGCTACCCCAACTTCACCGATCAGACTCTTTGCGCGGACAGCCGTTTGGGAGTGGGTCAGGGCCAGTGGAATACGATGGAATATGATATATGGTCCGATATGTAATGCTATGTATGTAGAACTGAGAAGATACTCATTACATGCTGAGATCGACGCCTTGCAGGACTTGGTGGCCTATTGCGACTTACCACAGGCGAAGACTGAGCAGGGTATGCGAAAATTCTGTTCATGTCAATGTTGCCGCTGTGGCTAGGCAGTGAATGTTGCAGCGATGGAGCGTGATGTGGTGATGTCGTATGTGGTGATTTGTGATGTGCTGGTGCAGTGAAGTGTAATGTGGTGTGTAAGACGTCGTAACTTGTGATAGGGGTCATGTAGTGTGCGTGATTTGTGGTATGGTGAAGTTTACTTTGTACCTTGCTACCATAAGAACTACTCTTCTGGACTTGTCCTTAGGACACTTTTATGCTTACTTTTTTCCCAGGAGCGTCTGCGAAAGGGTTCTTCCATAGAAAGGGTTGCCATTAGTACTCTTGCCCCTCTAGATCTGAAAGCAGCAGACTTTGCACTTCTAGACTGCTTCTTCTTCAGATCTGCTTATACAAAAGCTGCTGTTCTAGCTGTGCAAGTACCACACTTGAGACTTGTACATCTGCAGCTTGCAGGTCTGCTCTTCTAGAGCTGCTGCTTCAGATGTGGGTGGGCGTGGTGAACCCTTTACAGCTTCTGGACAACCCCACAACAGGGTGCCATACAAGTGTGTCTTACAAGAGTGTTAACGATGCGACTAGTAAAAAGATGCGTGATCCACACACCGTCATGCAAACATATACATACTGAACAACAACAGAACGTACATTGTACGCATGTGTTTGAACGTGCTCGAGCCATTCGTCGTCTAGTTTCTCTATGCAGCTCCACGTTTTTGCGCAGAATCTCTGCTTTTTGGTGCTTCTTCTGGAAACCCAAACATGTCGGCATTGTTGCCTGGAAACCTCTTCTATTCCATACTTCCCCCAATGCAATTGCGAGTCAAGCGCTGCGTGCTTGGCACACACACACACACATTCACACACACCCCTCACAGAGCTACCTTTGACCGCGCAAACTCTGATTAACTGAAGGTTCCGAGTGTTCCCTTTGGCAAAAGCCTTGCAGGCAGCAACAGTGATTGGTTTTGGAGCCAAGTGAAAACATGCACACTTAGCAGGAAATTCTGGGAGACAATGTTAATTAAGTTGAATCAAAGGCAAACACCCCAAACAAGATCAGATACATCGTTCTCGCAACAAAAGCCGCGCAATTCTTATTGCAGAGCCACGATAGAGTTTGGATCGGACGCAGGCACGCCTGCTGCGCTTTGCCTGCGGAATGACCTGCGGATGCGACAAGCTCATGGTAAACCCACTTTACCGAGTCCGAAGCCAGGGCTGCAACCAAGGCGCCTTGTGCAACTGCGATACTGTTGTTATTTGAAGGCTTACGCCTAACAGCCGGGCGCCGGCCCACTTGGGTCTGTGTAGGGCTGGGTCCTCTCTCTCTCTCTCCCTCTCCTCTCTCTGTCTGTCTCTGTCTCTGTCTCTGTCTCCGTCTCGGTCTCTGTCGGTCTCTGTCTCTGTCTCTGTCTCTGTCTTCTCTGTCTCTGTCTTCTCTGTCTCTGTGTCTCTCTCTCTCTCTGTCTCTCTCTCTCTCTCTCTGTCTCTCTCTGTCTCTCTCTCTCTCTCTCTCTTTGAGACTGTGTGGGGCCTATGTTGCCACATCTTGAGGCAATCTTGGCCCATCTTGGGGCTATGTTTCCCATATCTGGGACCTAGTAGACCCCTGCCCGACCCCCGGTCGACCCCGGTCGAATCCGGCCGACAGATGTAGAAAATGCTGTGTTTTTCAAGGGTGGTGTCGGTTATGCGTGCCGCGCGGACAGTCTTAATCGACATTTCGTGGGTGCTGGGCACGCGCCAACAGCAAAGGCGGAACATGTGCTCCAAGATGATCTGACACATCCCCTCAAGAGGACCCAACATAGGTCCCAGATATGGCTACTCTCTCTCTCTCTCTCGCTCTCTCTCTCTCTCTCTTTCTCTCTGTCTCTCTCTCTCACTCTCTCTCTCTCTCTCACTCTCTCTCTCTCTCCCTCTCCTCTCTCTATCTCTGTCTCTGTCTCTGTCTCTGTCCCTGTCGCTGTCTCTGTCTCTGTCTCTGTCTCTCTCTCTCTCTCTCTCTGTCTCTCTCTCTGTCTCTCTCTCTCTCTCTCTCTGTCTCTCTCTCTCTTTTTTTTTTTGTGCTCGGTTCTTTTCAGTCTGCCAAGTCCCAAGCCACACCAACAAGGCAAAAGTGGCTAGATGTACACATGGGAGCAAGGCTCATTCGCCTTGTACTCCAAGCTCTCTCAAGAGAGCATCTCACAACTGCTACCGAACTCGGCCTCTAGCTTTCAGAGCTCGGCCCAAATCGCAGCTTGCTCTGTTTCTTGGTGCCAGCACACTCTCCAGCCAGCCAAGACTGGGCCCGTCCGTGCACAATCTTAGTCACACGGTGGCATTTTTGGCACTCCAACCAGTCACCTCGCTTCCACAAGACATGTTGCGAGTTGGCCTTCGTTCTCAGCTCCAAAGTCTGCACGTCCACCGGGCCATGCTCACAAGGCTTTGCACTGAGCTGCTGCACCGCCTCTTTGCTGGAGCGCCCGGGAATTTTCAGCCAGCAGCGGTAACAGCCAAAGGAACTGGGCCTGCTGAACCACCTGTGCCCAGGCTGAGCTTCATCCAGCGCCTCAGTGGCTTCCACCATATCCAACTTGATTTGGGTGAGGGTGCGGCTCATCTCTCCATTGCAGCTCGTGGCCTGCTTCCGCGCAATCTCCTCATGAGTGGAGCAGCTCTTGATGTGGAGGCCACAAGTTTGACATTTGATGCCTTGCCCGTGGAGAGCCCATGTGTGCTGCCCTTCCCTGCGCTCCTGCTGGGTCAACCGACGCAGGATGTCAAGGCGCCCTTTCGGTCTCTCAGCCTTGACCTTGTAAGGGGTGGGCACAGGCTCAACTTTTCCATGCATGTAGTGCTCTGTGTCAGTGAGGATCATGCTGATCCTTTGAGCCGCCACTTCATAGACCTGTTGGTGCCATTGATCATCATCATGCAGCTGCCTGACTTCCTCCCCAGGGGCAAGGCTGACCGCCCTGTTCTGTGCACACATGTCAGCCTCC